GCGATGTTCTATAGGATGTAAACTTGTGCTGAACATAACCCTTGATCAAATGACAGTGGCATTGCTTGGGAAGTCAATGGTCAACAATACTTGACTCATTTTTAAGGACGTGGACATGACTCTTTTGTAGGTGTCAAGATTGTATTGCTCACTTACCTTTAGTATTTTCTAATAGATCTTGAGATGTTTATGAAAGTCCAAAATATCCTTTTTACACCACTCAACATACATTAAAGCGTCACGTACTTTTGAAGAAGGTGTACCTACTTGCCCCGCGCCAAGCAACGTCGGTGAGAATCTATAAAGAAGGACAGCACTTTCATGGGACTGGCTGACACCGCAACGGCCAACTGGAATCATAAGGATAAAAATATGTTTCTACTTTCTACTTCGCGCCGAGATATAATTGATTTTTCGCGCAACTTCCGGTTGGAATGATCCTCCGAACGGCCGTTTTCGTACATCATGTCGAGCCCCAAACTGTCTCTGCCATGCCATAAAATGGGTTGGAGAATTTCGATTTGCAGGTGAAGTTCAATATTTGTCATCCAAAAAAGTATCGTATATGGATTCGTTTTTCAAAATGAGGCGGATGCGCTCTAAAATCGTCTTAGCTATAGATAGAAATAATTTTTAAAAAAGCGAAGGTGCATACTGGGCAAGGGGGTAGCGTTTTCAACTTATGGCTAAAAAAACGTATCCGGCTAACAATCGGCCTAAGGCCAATAAAAGGCCGGAGGTTTGTCCGAAGGCCGGAGATTTCGAAGAAGCTGTACTCACGAGAAATCTTGCGAAAATATCGCTTATTGGGGTAGTAAAAAATGGCGTCATGTAAAATGACTACAGTATATCCAGATAAGAGATAGACCTGACATAAACAAGACCACGTGATCATCGAACGCTGTAACATTCGGCAGGGACGTATTAAGAGTCACGCAGTACATATTTTAGATAGTAGATGCTGCTTTGCGTAACTTTGTAGTAAATTAGCACAATTCGATGTGTATACGATTGGTGATGGATATAGGATCATGTGGGGGTGGGGTAAGAAATGTATAATGATGTAAATATACATAAGGGTTTCAAAATTTTCGCTTCGATTTCCAGCTTCGGATGCCGCCTGATGTTTGGTGAAATACAGTCGAATATAATCTCAAAATGGCGTTTAAATTAGCCTAAATTAAAAATAATCGTATATCTCTAAAAATTGCTTTTAGAATATTGATTAGTATATTTTTTGATTTCTAGGTAAATATGTAACCAAATTAAAACGTTCAAAACGTAAAAAAATGTGCATGGTTGAACATTGTCAGAAAGTAGGTTCTTGAATAGGTTTTGCCAAAATGGGTTCAAAAATGTCAATAATTAATTAAAAAATACAGTAGCTTTATAATTACTTATAACTTACCGAATTTGATGAACGACATCTTTTATTGGAAAGATGAGCTTTCATCATCGCTACTGCCTGAAGCACCAACGTCAATAATGAATGGCTCGACTTGTTCCTCTAAAATATTGTCCAGTTCCCACATTCTCTTTTCAACTTTGTCTTTCACGTGCTTAATACAGTTTTCCCATTTTTGCGCTGTTATTAATTCTAGTGCTTCTTTAAAAGTCCTTTGAGGTCACAAAATTTAAAAGTTGTATTGTGCTTAGCTATATAATTTTTAACCTCTGCCCATATGAGCTCAATGGGATTGAGCTCGCAATGGTATGGAGGTAAACGGAGCAGAGTTTTATTTTGACTTGCTGCCATTTCGTCAATGGCGTATTTTTGATATTCCGCCTTGTGATCCTTGACAATTCTTAATAATTGTACTTTCAGCATTGCTTCTTCAAAGTTGATATTTTTCGAGCGGAGCCAATTTTGAACATCAACTTTCCTTGAAGCCGTTGTTGGGACCTTCTCCATTCTTCGAGAATGATAAGGCGCATTATCCAACACAATTACTGCGTTTTCCTCTAAGTTCGGTAAAATTTTTGAAAACCACTGTTCAAACGATTCGCCATTCATTTCCTCGTGGTAATCTCCAGTTTTCTTAGACTCAAAGCACCACAGACCGTCAACAACAAATCCATCCTCGCTGCCAATATGGCAGATAATGAGCCTTTTCCCTTTACCTGGAAATCGAAGTACTAACTGGTGTAGATTTATTTCAATAAGCGAACCTTTTTCAAATGTTTTCATCACATTCAGCGAAAAAACATTGAGACATGAGTATCAGATTGCTATAATTGGGATTATTTAGTCATATTGAAAGAAAGAATATTGAACGTCGTATGATTACTCAGCGCTTCACAATTTAATTTAAAGTTATAAACCTTTAAAAAATGAATGATCAGGAACCTGAAATACGCGCAAATATTAATATTAACAAATTATAACTTTATAAAGCTTAAAGTATGAATTAAAATGATTAGAAATATTAGGAACGGTACACAGTATAAAACTTAGTAACTTTTTTTAAGTTTATAATATTCGACATATTATAAGATTATATTAAAAAATTATTGAAATATCGAAAACACATAAAAACATGGCTTAAAAAAGTTCTAGCAAATGAAAATGACAATAAAACATCCACGCATTTTATCGAAAGTTATAAAAGTTTTGTTACTTGTAATATGTTTTATCTGCCCCCTGGAATTAATGTTTAGAACCTTGTTCCCAAGGTTTGAAAAACATCCGATTGTTGTCTATTACTCGTATTTATCTGCTGGATTCTTTAATCCGGTGGACAGTCCATCTAGAAAGGCCCTCCTGGATGAAGTTACAGAATCATCAACCCATACTTTACTTGTAGTGTGTCCTGCGTTTACCCACGTTTCATCAAGGTAATACATCTTCCTGTTTTGATTTCTATATTTCCCAATTTTTGTTAAATAATCCCTCCTCCATAGCACAATTTCTTCTCTATCCAGTAGTAAACTATTACGACCCCGTTTTTTCCATTTGAAATTTAAATGCTTCAGTAACGCATGGAAAGTTGATCGTTTGAAATTTGGCAACGTTGTATCTCCATTTACCTCCTGCAGTACTTTATCTATAGTAGGTATTTCATTCCTAAAGAAGAATTCATGCACTTTCCTCCTAATCGCATGCTTATCAGCTTCATCCAATAATTTAACAATACTTTTGCGATGTTTACTGGTCATTGGCTCAGAAAAGGTGTGCTTTTTTTTGTAGTAGGTAGTAATAGATATTGCATTCTTTTTAATATTGGACTTATTTTGTTACAGGTAAGCTGTACGCTGTATGTTTTGCCGTCCATGACCCAGCTCTGACAGTAAGTACTTTTGAAGATCCCAACGTTAAAAAGTGTCTTCCTGTTCATCGCCTATCACTGAGAACCTTGGATTTGCGGCACCAATCGCTTCATTGACAGTGTCAGGTGTATCGGAAGGTGACTTCAGCTGGTTAGTTGAGAGTCGGGTTAATCCATTTCCGAAATTTAGTCCCTACTAATATTACAAATGGGAAATTATGGACAGCTGTTACTCAGTCACGCCAAAATAGCTGAAGGGATGTGGATCAAAATTGGTACAGAGATGTATTACAATCTGGAATTGCACATAGGCATTTTGTTGTGATTATATTTTGAGACTATCCGCAAATTACTTTTGCTAACCTAAAGCTTTCCTTGGAACTTTTTTGCAAAAAACCTGTTTACCTAGTTTCAAAAGTGTTCAGGTATTTCATAGGCAGCCTGCGAATATAGGCTAATACCAAATCACCTCGCGCATAAAACCAATAACATTCCTTGGATATTAATGAATGATTCGCCAATTTTCATTGTAGCTCAGAAGTATGCTTACAGACTGCAGACATATTCACAAAATAAAGATTCTTGTATAAATTTCACCACTTTGACATTTTCTCACAAATACGCAGATGATAATATTATATTACGCACTAATAGAATGTCGCATAACTTACGAATTAACAGTTTGGGGCTCTGAAAATAAGACGCTGATAGAATAGGTTGGAAAAGCGCAAAAATATGTTCTGAAATAAACCAATTTCATTCCGTCTGAGCCCTTTTACGCTGAAACAAACTTGCTACCTTATACAGGAATAAATAATAAACAAATACTATAATAAACAAAAACTCACGAAATATTAGTTTATCCTAAATAAAGACATCAGGTTAAAATAATGTTTCTATTGGGCTTCACTATTATACGAGTATAATAACATGCCAGCAAATTAAACAAATATGACAATATGTTCAAAGGAACTAAAATTCCGAACTAGAACGTACTAAAACATATACACCCGCTTTGACTAAAAAAAACTTGCATTCTAATAACAACAAAATTGCAATTCATTATGCACAACGCCGCATACACAGTATCATACAGGTTATTTATTTTGATAACAACAGTCATTTTTATTTGGGTATTATTTTTTTTTTCATGCACAAGTATATCCCTATGTGGAATGAGGTGTATTCACCATGCTGTATATAAGCGTAATAAATTATTACTATTATAAACGCTGTTCCAAAAATAGCACGCCAGAGTGATTGGCTTCAGATCAATCAGATGAAATCAACATGACCTTATTAAAAGTTTTCTAGTTTTCGACATACCATGAAACGTTTATTTTCCCGGTAATTAGTAAAACTTAAGTAGAGGTCTTCGCATTGAAACCAAATGTAATATTTTTTTTCTTTTCAGCATATCATGCTAGTTTTCAACCAGCTATAAATGGTAGCCCAGAAAAAAAATCATAAGTTAGAAGCTCTTTAGAGCCATAACAGGTAAAAAAGTGCAAAAATTGTTGATTTTTTGAGAACACTACAAAGTGGCTATAACTCGAAAACTAAAAAACTTTTACTAAGGTTATGTTTGTCTTATATACTAAGTGACATATAAATCCGAACACCCAGTTTAAATGGTTTTATTTTAATAACATTTTGTATAAGTACTTAATGAAGCATAATAAGTAAATGATAAAAATTTCAAAATGATTGCACTGCTTTAAAGCCCTTTGACCTTTAATAATGTGTGGATGCACCGTGATGTGATACGCATTCTCCAACGCGCCTAGGCATACTTCTGATCAGGTGGTCAATGTCGTCCTGTGGTATCTCATTCCAGGCAACCACCAACTCCTCTCGAAGTGCTTCTAGAGTCTGAGGAGGACGTTGCAAATTGAGCAATCTCCTACCCATCATATCCCACACGTGCTCAATTGGGGATAAGTCGGGAGATCTTGGTGGCCATGGTAACAATGTGACATCATTATGTTGAAAGAAGTCTATTGTGACTCTTGCAACATGTGGTCGGGCATTATCTTGTTGGAAAGTTGGATCTGCCAGGGTGTCAAGATAGGGTGAAAGATGGGGTTCTAGAACTTCGTGGATATAACGCTGCGCGTTCATGTTACCTCTGATGAAGAGTAAAGGTGACCTGGAACCATAAGCTATAGCACCCCAAACCATAACTCCAACAGTGTGATGAACATGTCTTTCAACAAAAAACTGTGGATTCCTCCTTTCACCACGTCGCCTTCTAACGCTGGTACGACCATTGTGCATGTCTAAACAAAATCGAGACTCGTCACTAAAGACAATACTGTTCCATTCCTGATCCCAGAGTGACCGTTGTCTGCACCACTCAAGGCGATTATTACGTCGGTGTTCTCGAGTTAAAGGGAGGACCCAGTGTGGCCGGTATGAAAACAAGCCAAAACTTCTCATTCGTCGGTAAACACTTCGCATGACAATAGGTCTTCCGTGTTCTGCAAACCATTCATTTGCAATGGACCTGGTAGTGGAGAAACGGTCCCTTAAGGCCAATAATCTTAGTCGGCGATCTTCACGGTCTGTTGTTCTACGGCGGCGTCCAGTGCCCCTTGCTCTTTGCGTACGGCCTTCTCGAAGCCATGCCTGACAACACGTAACCACAGTGTCTACACTTCTTTGCACTCTAACTGCAATTGCCCGAAAAGAAAGTCCAGCTCCCCGAAGTCCCACTATACGCTCCCTATCAAACTCACTAAGTTGACGAAATCGTACAGGTCTCCGTACTCTAGGCATAGTAAGCGATCGTAAAGGATGTCAAGAACCAAAATCCGCCAACGTTGATTCTTTACTGCGGCTGAAATATTAATTTTTAGAGCGTTAGTGAATTAAAAAAAAGCAGTATAAAAACCGGAGTGTCCAACTGATAAGGCTGAAAATTTTTTCACTTGTTATTTGCAGTAAGATAAATACATTCACCAACTTTTATTAAAATAAAACCATTTAAACTGGGTGTTCGGATTTATATGTCACTCAGTATATGACTAATCTGAGACAAATCTACTTCCCGTGCCATTCTGGAATGTAATTTCTGTAACACCCCGTATATTGTTGCATTGGATTATTGAGTAAACACTACCTATTATTAACGTAACTATTAGGCTTTTATCTCAATAGTGATCTTAATGTCTTGGTATAATATGTGCTTTATAAAGATTTGCTTATTGTCGCGGGACCGATGCTCTATGAGGGAAAGTCCAAGTTTAATAGGATTCTTTGTTGATTTTAGTTAGAGGTAGAAGTATTATAGCCAGCTTTCAGTCTATCTAAATCAGTTTACACGTGGCTACCAATAATTGCATGCACGCTGCGAAATATTTCAAAGCAGACGTCAAAAAGGAGAACTGCGAGCTGCTGCGATGGAATCAATTAATAATTTCAACTTGAGCGGAAACTGCTGCAGTTACCGATAAGTTTCTCAACCCCAAATAAGGGAAACATCCGACATAAGCAAAACGCACCTGAATGAGAGATTCATGGAACAAATCAATGGAATTCAGGAGTGAGGTTTCAGCAACTAAAGATGGAAGCTGCTTCGTTAAAATGTTAATTGCCGGTAAACTCCCTCTTATGCATGCGTCAAGAGTGCGCTGACTGGGCATATAATATGTTAAACATGGAGTAATACTCAAGGAATGATCGCTTGGACTTATTGACTAAGGCTGTCTTTTGATTATTTCTCAAAAACGACCTGGGTTTTAAAGATACAACGAGCATAACTTTAGGAAATAATCGTCTTTAATAGCTGAAGCCACATTTTATATTGAGAATGTAGTCTCGCATTCTAGCTAGAGGTACTTAAGCATTTTGAGTCTTGTAAATGAAAAGGGTTCACGTTTGATTTTTGCTATTAAAACTTGTTTTTGGAAATCTTGTTCGCCCTATACCAGGTGCTACAAAGTCGACTTCCACGATTGGAATTTCGGAAGCGGTAAGAGATACCAAGTCACTCGAATGGAGACATAGTTGCATTGCGTATTTGGGGTACTAAGAAAATGACACATAGAAAGTGTCGGAATTCCGAGTGTTCCCAGAAGGAACCGAATTATTCCAAAATCACTTTTATTTTTACCTGACTCTGCGAATTGTTTTTCACAATGAAGAGCACAGTAACATGGCCACTTTTTTCTCTACAAAATTGTGTAATTGAAAGTTTCGTATATTTTGTCACTCGTCGCCAATCATCAACTTTATTTCATAATGGGCGTATTGGATTCTTTCGCAGGTCAAAAAGTTATTTAATTGTGATATTAAAAATATATAGTATATCTTATATATATCTTAGTTACGTCAAGAGACAGAACTGCATAAGTAGGCTTTGAAATTAAAAGAAAGTCATTTTTTCTTATATAATCGACCAAGCAAATTTTTCCCTATATCTGACTTGAATGATGCGGTAATGTAAAAATCGTCATATGGTTCAAAAAAGTTATCTCACCAACTCATTGAACAAACTTTATGTATCTTAACTCAAAAATTTACTTTGTACTGATTGAGTACTCCAGCTCCCTAAAGTTTTAGGACCATAATTCCTTGAGTGGCTCAAGCCAGAACCTTTATATATTTTATGACCTGCGTAATTTCTTTTATTCTGAAGCAGCCACGTGAGCGAAATACCAGGGCACACAGGCTGCAGCGAGGAGCTTAGAGATTACTCCGGTATTCAGATTTCTTGGGATAAGTCTAAGATTATACTACAGTTCTGTCATCTATGAAACAAACCAACAGACGTATTGGCCAGTTTTGGATGTACGAATTTCGCCAGAGGAAGGAGTATCATTCACCAGTCGGACAGCCCTTTTCTGAATAGCATAGAATATGGATAATGTAGTCGATGAGGGGAGCACACGAAATATGTGATCAGTACTCGAGGCTGGGCCTGATCTGGACTTTGTACAGGATGAGCAGGTTATGTGGTACTTATTAGCCCAGCGGCTTTCGCGATGATGAGATGTGTGCAAGCCCCATCAAGTTGTAAGCAAATCGAGCTTAAGACAAAGCACGCGTTCAATACGTATTTCAGTAGTAGGCCACACAGAGGTCCTCGAGCCATAAATTAATCAATATATGTGTATGGTTACAACTGTTAAGACTACCCCAAACTTTAGCTTACGCTTCTTTTAGTTATCAGGCCTTTGAGTAAATAAATAACGACCGGTAACACCGGAAAGCGATTCAGGGATTCTATATTAATATTCACTCATATGTACATCTCACGTAGCGAGTTTAGAAATAGACAAGGTCTATCAAAACTATACAGGGTGTTCCTTAATGATATGCAAATATTTAAGGGTGTGAATTTACATGAAAAATTAATGTTAGTTTGCTTTATGAACTATGATCCAAAACTGTTTCCTTAAAAAAACTCGAGGCGTTGAGGTTTTAGGAAAAAAATGGAAATTAATTAATATTTTCAGAACCGCTTCAGATATTTCACTGATATTTAGTACGTAGTGAAAGTTAACAAAGTTGCATGATTTCCAATGTAAAAATTATTTTCAGCTTTAACAGTGGCGTGCGTACGGGTATTGACTTCGATATCTTTCAAGAAAAAAATAGTACACCAATGGTTTTTTGCCAAATTTAAAAAAAAAAACGGTTCTATTGTTCGAAAAAATTAGTATAATAATTGAAGAATGCAATTTAAAAATGAATATCTAGTTGCTCTGGAATATGTCACTGGCTGTTGACATCCGACAAGTCTCTGTTATTTAAATCTGTTCGCTGTGACATCTTTTTCAGTATTTAGTTTTTACAATTTTGTTAGTAATGGTGAATTATTCAAATGCAGAAATGGCAGATATGCATTACGTATATGGCCTTGCCGATGGTAATGGTGAGCAAGGCAGACGGATTTATCACCAGAGATATCCTGATCGTGCTTTGCCAGATAGTCGAACCTTTTCTAATATTCATCATAGTCTTGTTGAAACTGGTTCTGTCCAAAGGAACATCTGAAGGTAGACCTCTAAGTGTGAGAACACCTGAAATAGGGGGAGCAGTGCTGCACGAAGTCGAAGAACATCCTAAAACGAATACAAGGAAGATCGCTAGACACTTAGATATTTGCCATCAAGTTGTTTGGAGAATTTTAGTGGATCTTTTTTTATATCCTTACCATATTTTCAGAGTACAGGCATTACTTCCCATTGATTTTCCAACGTGTGTGACATTTTGTCATTGGTATCTTCAAAAAATTACACAAAATCCGCAATTTGAATCAATGATTCTGTTCACGGACGAAGATAATTTTTCTCGAAATGCCGTTCAGAATTTCAACAATAATCATTTGTGGGCAGAAGAAAATCCCTATGCCGTAGCCGAATCCCATTTACAACACCAATTTCCGGTTAATGTATGGGCAGGAATTATTGGCAACCACTTTATTTGCCCATTCTTCTTGCCGGGATGACTTGACGGACGTGCTTACCTCAGTTTTCTTCAACATTAGTTGCCTTTGCTGCTTGATGGTGTTACGTTAGTAATAAGAAACAATATGAGGCACATGCATGAAGGTGCACCAGCACATTTCAGTGTAGCGCTTCGTAATTATTTGCAAACTGTTTATCCAAATCCTTGGATTGGCCGCGGTGAGCCGCAAGAATGTCCACCAAGGTCCCCAGACCTCAACAGTTTAGATTTCTTGGGGCTATCTTAAGACACTAGTGTTCACAAGTCCCATTAACACTGTGGGGGAATTAAGAGAAAGAATAGTTGCAGTTTGTGATAGAACAAAAAACACTCCAGGGATATTTCAACTAGTGCGCAATTCCATGAGAAGGAGAGCGGAAGCGTACATACCAAGTGAAGAGGGCCATTTTCAACAGTTTTCTAATCATTTCATTGGTTTTAATGTTATGTTTATGTTGCCAGTTGTTGTTGTTCATTACCCCTAATGTGATTAATTTTTCCAATTAAATTGATAGTAATTTTGCAAGTTAGACAATAGAACGGTTTTTATTTTTTTACTCAAAACTGGCGCATCAAAGTTAAACAATTCAAGAAAGATCATTTTTTTCGAATTGAACTGGTAATTCAAAAAACCATTGGCTTACCATTTCTTTCTTAAAAAATATCGAAGTCAATACCCGTACGTACTCCACTGTTAAAGCTAAATAGTATTATTGCATTGAAAAATATGCAACTTTATTAACTTTCACTACATACAAAATATCAGTGAAATATCTGAAGCAGTTCTGAAAATATTAATTAATTTCCATTTGTTTCCTAAAACTTCAGCAACCCTAGTTTTTGTGAGGAAACATTTTTGGACCATAGCTTATAAAGCAAACTAATTTTCATGTAGATTCACG